ACATGTCCACCTCCTGTCTCCGTGCTATTGCACTGAATTTTCCCCCATTTCTGGAATGTATTCCCTCTTGACCTTTGCCTCTTAGAATCCCATCTTCAAAACTTATTTCAAGAGCCACATTCTATGTGCTAATCACTTTGAGTCTTTTTTGCCAATCCCTGTGTATGTACATGTTGTTTCTTTTATTGAATCTAAGTTCCCTAGGGGCATGTTTCACTTGTTTCCTTCCCTCACTCCCATTCCTGTTCCTAGTTCCTAGCCCTGGCTGTACCTGGCTCCAGAATAGGGGTTTAATAACTGCTGGTTGGTTGATAGTAGAGATAGTCTTTTATCAGATGGGAGAGTTGGACCAACTAACTTCTAAGGTCTGTTCCAAAGCAGAGGCTCTCTGGTGAAACATTTGCATGAATGTTTCACTTGCCCTCCTGAGGTGCCTAAAAGTTCTTGGAATGCATACTCCCGAGTGAGTACAAATTAAAGCTTGATGTCATCCCAGTCTCTTCCATAGTGATTTAATAATACACAAAGGATCTGTGATTTTTCATGAGTTTAGGTAATTATAGTAGATAATGGCCTAGGGAGTTGCCTGAGAAACATAGAAGTTAAGTAAGTTGTTGCAACCCATAGTTTGCAAGTATTAGATAGATCAATGAATGGATGGATGTAGAGGGGTTGAGGGGTGGGATGGGTACTTACTGTGTGCCAGGCACTGTGCACATAATACAAAAGGAAATACAAGAGACAAGATTTGACCCTACAATTCCAGGGTCAACAATAATGCATTGATTAAGTGTCTGCTATGTGTTAGGCAGTGCACTAGGCACTGGAGATACAAAGACAGACAAAAACATGGTCCCTGCCTCCAAGGAGCTCACATTCTAGTGAGAGGAAATACCATTTAAATAACTATGTACCTTCTGATAGAGAGCACACAATACACATGGGGAGGTGGTAGCCAGAGAAGGGGGCTTAGATGTTTTAGCCTGGGAAGCGGAAGGATTGGAGAGTGGAGCTTTAGGAAACCATATTGTACTGATTTGATTTAGGCGACTAGAGCAAAAGGTAGAAAATGGATGGGGGCAGGGTGAATAGCAGGGGGGATGTGAAGACTATAGAAAATCCTACTTCCCATGGCTTTGTATGGCTAGACTAACAAGACTGGTAGGGATCTAGAAAGAACCGGCCAAGGAATAATAGAATGCTAACTGAGAAAAGCCTGAAGAAAATTGCATACATTGTTAAGACATTCACTCAGATTCCAGGATTTGAGGAGCAAGTAAAAAGAACTGCTAAATACTTCAGGTAGTACTCTGGTGCTTACTTCTCCAAGAAGGTGTAAACATGTAGATAGGTTCATTCAAGATATTGGTAAATTTGGAGATCAAAGGTCCATAGCATTAAGGAGAGTGAAGATTATTACATTTAGGATAACATGTTTTATTCAATAACCCTTCTCTCCATCTCTTCCTCCTTTTACTTTTCTACTGTCTTGCTTTCTCTTACTCCCCCCCCCAAAATGCAGACAAAGCTCCATGAATCCCGAAATAATTTTGTAAAAATGTTACTTGGTATTGGTAAAAACACTCTGGTTGATCTCTAAAAATAGGAAATTTAATGAGTTTCTGGTTAACTAATGAGAGCTTTGTTGATTTAGTTTCAAGTATTTTGAGGATGGGATATACCCATCTTCAAAATATGGAGGTCACCTGATCACAATCAGCCCTGCAGTACTCCAGGTCATGTTTGGGATTCAGTATGGAGATTCTGACCTCTTCCACTCTTGAGGCCATGATTTTCTGATTAGTCAATGAGTGGATGAGCAAATTCACATCAGGTGCTTTTTCTACCTGGCCTCAATCCTTGCTTTACCCTAGCAGCTGTGTTGCACCTCTCCCTGCTCCCATCCCCACCTTCCTACCATCCTACACCCCCATCTGCCATCTTGCTCTGGGATATTTAATGATACAGCACTGTCCTTGCTTCTGGAAGGAGAATGTCAGTTGATTCCCCTATGGCTCCACTCACTATTCCAGTGATGTGCTCCATCTAAATACCCTTTTCTAGCTACATCTCTCCCCTATTTGTTTTCTTCCTCATTAGAAGGTATTCTCCTTAAGAGAAATTACTAGCTATCACCCCAAGACTTAGTATTATGTATAATACAAAGTAAGTCCTTAATGAATACTTTTTTATTATTCATTCAGTTCTTTGATTCACTTGGCTAAATTTAATTTTTAGCTCTAAGTTTTATTCATTTTATTTCATTTTTTATTCTGAACTTAATAAATGCCAAATAAAACGAGCATTTCCATATAGATTATAGACTAGGGAAAGATTGTACATTAAATTGTGAATTTCCATTACATAGCGCTTATTTTTCTTTTAAAGTATATAATAAATTCAGCATATAAAATTTAGAACTTTCTTGCTTTGTTTCCTTTGATTTTCTTTTTTGGTGGGAGTTGAGACTGTTCCCTTTCTTCCTCTCCCCATCCTCCTTAGGAAGGGAAAAAAAAGAGGAGAAAGCCTTGCAACAAATGCATTGTCAAGCAAAATAATTTTCTATATTATCCATGTCCAAGAAATGTTACGTCTCATGCTGCACCTTGATTCTACCACCTCTCTGTCAGGAGGTAGATAGCATGTTTCTTCATCAGTCCTTTGAAGTCATGATTTTTCATTTCATGTGTTAGACTTCTTAAATCGTTCAAGGTTGTTTTCCTTTACAACGCTTATTACACAAATTATCCTTTTAGTTCTGTTCACCTTATTTTGCATTCTAGGTTTCTCTGATACCATCCTTTTTGTTATTTTTTACAGCACAATACTATTTTATTATATACACATTCAGTAATTTGTTCATATATTCCTAGTTGATGGATACTTGACTTGTTGATCAATCTTCCTGAAAAGACTTAAAGAATTTTTTTAAGTTAGGATATTACCTAACCATTCTATATTTCAATTTTAAATTATTCCAAAAAGTAACTTTTTCATACTCTTTAATCCAGCATCCTACCATTGGGTATATACACTAAGGAAGTCAAAGACAGAAACAAGGGTCCAACATATACTAGAATATTACTAGCAGCACTGTTGTAGCCAAGAACTAGAAACAAAGTGGCCACCTGTTGATTGGGCATGGCTAAAATATCTGAAATTAATGGAATAAAATTATGTAAGTAATTTTTAAGCAAGATTACAAATTCAGGGAAGATTGGTTTGAATTGTTGCGGTAGATGTAATGATTACAACAGTGTAAATAAAAAACCTAATAAAAGGGAGTTGAACTCGGGGTAATGGAAAAACCAGTGAAGGTTCTAGAGAAGAGATAGCAAAATATGGCTCCTCTGTCACAGTAGTAGAGAATGACTACTAGGACAAGGACAAATAGTATAATACATTGCTAGACAGGGCTTCTGTGTGTAATGTCTTTGCCTCATTATTTTCCTTTGTCATAATGAGAGGGGCAGGTATGGGTAGAAAATGACTGACAAAAATAAAAGGCTTTCCAATAAGACATTATTGTAAAATGTCCATGTATTGACTGTACTGTCTCAAGTTAACTCAGTTTCTCAGAGAAAAAAGGGAAAATCTAATCCAGGACTAAGCAAAACTCCACAAAAGTGTAATTCATAAACTAAGAGGCTCAACAGATGCCCTAAAAGATATAGATAGATAGATAGATAGATAGATAGATAGATAGATAGATAGATAGATAGATAGATAGATAGGAAAACAAGTGAATCTAATGTTAGGTTCCTGTGTAAGGCTGATCTTCACAAGGCAGAAATACCCAGAGGCTTCCTTTACTGACTCATCTTCTGTCTTTCCCTATTCCCACCCCCACCATGTTATGATTTCCATCTCAAGAAAGTATCCCTCTGGATTCCACCAGGCATATGCCTCCTTATCAATCATCTTAACAGAAAAAGCCTTCCCTCCTTAAGCAGGGCAGAGCACCAAGGCTGCCTCTTTAGGGATAATACCATGGGAGCAGAGGCCCTAAAGTCTGAGGGCCTGGATTCAGATCCTATTCCTGATTCCCACTACTTGCAGTTTGACGTTATTGGGCCTCAGTTTCCTCATAAATAACATGAGAAGATTGGAGTAGATGGTGGCTATGGTTCCTCCTGGTTCTGTTTTTTGCCAACTCCTAGGCAGTGGGGGTTAACAGTTTGTTTTGCTAATTTGCTTTTCACCCATCTGCCCAGGATGGGCATTAGTCATTAGTCACAGATAGTCACCTATTTTGATTTGGACTTAAGATCATCTTGAGCTGGAAGGTACCTTAAAGGCCATCTTGCCCAAACCAGTAATTTTTACAGCTGGAGAATATGGGACTCAGATGAGAGAGACAGCTTAAGTGGTGCCATAGCGCACAGAGCTGGGCCCTGAGTCAGGAACACCCAAGTTCAAATCCAGGCTTAGACTCTTACTAGTTGTGTGACCCTGAGCAAGTCCCTTAACCTTAGCCTGCCTCAGTTTCCTCAATTGTAAAATAGGGATAATAACAGCACCTACCTGGTAGGATTGTTGTGAGGATCAAATGAGGTAATATTTGTAAAGGGCTTAGCACAGTGCCTGGTACATTGTAAGAATTTAATAAATGTTTATTCCTTTTTCTTCCCTTGCCCAAGGTCACTCAACCAGTAAATGGCAGAACTGCTTTTCAGCCCAGGTTCTCTGACTCCAAAATCTGTAGTCTCTCCACTATACCAACTGCCTCCCTTGGTTTATTTGATGTGCAAGAATCTAGTTTATTATATCACTATATAATGCCTTTACTGTAAATAATTTTAGCCTGTCATATGATATCATGACATTGTGATATCATATATCATTTACTGTATTTGTAGTTAATCAGTAGACTGTATACTATAGTTTTCTTTGTGAATTTAATGGCCAGCTTTCTTGAAGATTTGACTTTTTATTCTTCAGCACTGTAAATGGTAAATGTTGCATACTTTAATGAATTTTTTTTCTTTTCTTTTTTCTAGCAGCTGTTTGGGGCAACTTCGTTAATATAAGGTAATTAATTCACTTTAATATCTGTCTGCTGTGGAATTGTCGAATAGTTAATTTTTCAATTAACCATTTTGTAGATTTACTGAAAGAAACTTAATCTTAGATGGAGTTCTCAGCATCTAAGCTGTCTTCTCCAGTGTCATTTTGTATGTGCTCTGGGAAATCAAGCTAGTATTAGCCTCAACAAAATGTAGGATGAAAAATACATCACCAGAAATGAACAGAATGAGTGTTTTCTTAAAAAGCCTGATGGGGGGGGGAGGATGAGAAGAGCTGACATGAACTTTTGTATTAATTACCTGCTGATATTGTGCATGGCAATGAAATCTTCTGTTAGTATGAGTAACTGAGAGTTTATAGTGTAGGTTATCTTTCTAGAACATAAGAGGAAAACCTTGTAGTTGGGGGTCAATTTTTTGTTGCGGTTATTTATGATTCAGGCATAACTTCATACTCTCATTACTATATCTGAATATAAAATGCTTAGTTTCTGTAACTGTAAAGTAGATGACATTTTTAATCATCTTTCTGAAATAAGATTTTGAAGATGTGTTCAGATTTATCATGGTTTAAAACATTATAATTGGTGTTTAAAATATAGATTCTATGTTTAAGGGGCTAGGGAAGAGGGAAACACAGCTGAGGTATTTTGTTTTTTCTCCCCAAAGTCCATTTCATTGATTTAAAAGGCCTTTTAAAACTCAGAATATGGAGAGGGGAAAGAGGAGAAGGGAGGTGTAAAATTGCTTAAATTGCATCTTGTCAGTGCCCCAAATTATATGAGCAAATTCTTGATATATGCAATGATGATACTATTTATCCAGTTTATATTACTATGCATACTTTTACTGTTGATATAGTATTTTAGTTAATTAGTAGGCTATTTACAGAGCTTATGTGGTTATGTATGTATGTATGTATGCCCTTGCATGTATGCATATTTAAGGAGGAAAAGCTGTGTTTGATGTTTTAAACATATTTTAGGTTTTTCCAGAAAGCCATTTAAGTTCAAAGAAAATTCTCATTGCCATTTTTCTTTCTTGATTTTTGAATTCAAGTTAGGGTGGTCACCATAACCCTTGCTGGTTAAATGAGAATTGATATTTTGCGGTTGCTGTTTGTAGTGACGTGTAAAGTCTCCAAGGCAAGAGTATTCTTTTTTTACTTTAGTATTCCTTTTGTTTATTTATTTTACTCTTTACCTTTCGATGTCTTTTTTTTTTTTTACTATAAAATTTTTTCTGCAGTGGGTGGGGGAAATGTTGCTCTGATTTCTACCACTGTGGCATATGTATGTTTCATCAACAAAGAAGCTTCTGTGTGTCTAGGTGTGGTGTGTGCTGATCCCATGTAAAGGAGCTCTGTTATACTACTTGAAAGGCTCCATTTTGTCTTAGATGCCCAAGAAAGCTCTATTTTGCAGAACCTATGCCTTAAATATAATGAAGGGTCCCATAGAATACCTTTTTATTTTTTTTAACTAAGTTTTGCTTCTTAACTTTTAAGACTTATTTTCGGGGGTAATGTGGGAATGAGATTACTTAAATTAAAAACTTGCAGATTAGGGTAAATAGAGCCTGTATTTAGAAAAATGACACAAATGACTATTAAAAAGGTATAGGGGATGTCTGAATTCTATAGTATTTTGTTTGTCTCTGGTAATTTAATTAATGCTAAAATCATTGTTTGAAATCATGAGAGATTATTCAACTGACCTCAGCTTTATAACTTTCTCCTCCATAGGTCTATACAGGAAAATGGAGAACAGAAAATTGAAAATAAGATAGAAGAGGTTAGTTTACTTTCCTCATTCCTCTGATAATAGAATCACAAATATTTTTTTTAGCAGGAAAGGAACTCAAAAGTCATCTGATGCTGTTTCATTTTATCAGTGAGGAAGCTGCAGCCAAAAGAGGTTAAGATTTGTGCAAAGTAACCCTGGAAGTGTTGAAGTCTGGATCTGAATTGAAGTTCTCACACTGCAAAATATTTTTTTTAAGGCAATTGGGGTTAAGTGACTTGCCCAAGGTCACACAGCAAGTAAGTGTCAAGTGTTTGGTCGGAAGCTGGATTTGAACTCAGGTCCTCCTGACTTCAGGGCCCATGCTTTATCCACTGTTCCACTTAGCTGCCTCTAATAAATTTTTTTTTTTGCTAGGCAGTGGGGTTAAGTGACTTACCCAGGGTCACACAGCTAGTAAGTGTTATGTATCTGAGGCCTGACTTCAAGGCCAGTGCTCTATCCACTGTGCCACCTAGCTTCCCCTACACTGCAAAATCTTAAGTTTCTTTTTGGAGCCTGCCCAGGTGTCTTCACTGTTATGGGACCTGGTGGTCTATGCCATTTGGGTTTTTTTTTTCTTCTTCCACAGTTGTACCTGAACAGGTCATAATAGTCGAGTGGATGGGAGAGATTTTTCTAGTTCTTACTGTTACGCTACAAATGACATGTCCACTTTTAATTTTTTTTTTAAAGTACAGGTTTTAAAATATTTTATTCTTTCTAACTAACTCAAGGAAAATTTAATCCATCACCATTTGGTGAAATCTTTCCTAGATAGCAAGTGGGAGAAATGGAGAGAGAGAGAGAGAGAGAGGAGGAGGGAGGGAAGGAGAGAAAAAGAGAAAGAGAAAAAGAAAAAGGAGGAGGTGAAGAAAAGGAGGAAAAGAAATGAGAAGAAAAGAACAAATGGAGAAGAAAAAAGGAAAAAAAGAAAGAAGAGAAAAAACACAAGGCTGACTTAACTTTAGTTTGCCTGCCTGTTGTTGGATAAGCCAGGGCACCTGCATGATACAGAAACTAGAAACTCACAGTTACATTTTTTAAAAATTTGTGTTTAAAAAAAATAGCTAGAATTCCCTCACATAAGGACCAAGTTGGGTAGGTGAGCATCTTTTTTTTTTTAAGTTTGGTTTGAGGCTCCAAGGAAGGAGGAAGGAATTACAAGTACAAATCAATTTCTGGAAGACCATGAATTGTTCTGACTCAAACCAACATTTTACGCATAGCAACACAACACCTATGAACATGCTGAAGAAACAACTTCTCAGTTGTTCAAACCAAATCTGTCGCACAAACAAAATGTTGATCGTTTATAAGCCAAAGTAGAAAAAAAAACTGCTTTGTTAAGAAGAGGATATGGCGGGTGCCTGTCTGGTTTTGAACCTGAAACTCCCCTTTACTGCTGCTGCTGGTGGTGGGTAGACACAGACACTATCTTTTACCAAAGCCCTAGGCATCTCAAGGAGTAGAAGCACCACATGCCTGCCCCTAATTCTTTAGAGTAACAGCTGAATCCAAGTTGTAGTACATTTAGATTTCAGACTGAAAACGAATAGTGGAAAATAATGTTAAACTTCTGTGTTATGTCTGCAAGACATGATGCTTACTTGGAAAAGAACAGGCTGTGTGTTTCAAGAGTGGGGAAAGGTCTTGAGTTCTTTAAAATTTACTTCTGTCGTTGTAGGCTGTTGCACCTTTGAGAGAGAAAATCAGAGACTTGGAAAAAAGGTAAGAAAGCCTCTGTAGAGTAAGTTTAAGACAATGGAATTGTGACTTTGATAGTATTGGGTTTGTGTCGAGTATACAATCACTAGAAAGGTATCTAGTATAAACTCATCAGTTAAGTAAGTATCTCTAAGTGTATGTACAAATAAATCATTTGAGTAAGTTTCTCTGTGTGTGTGTGTGTGTGTGTGTGTGTGTGTGTGTGTGTACAAGTCTTGTGCTGTCTCAGTATTTCTCTTTTCCAAGGAAAAATAGCAAAATAATAATGATGATGATGATGATGATGAATTGCTAAAAGAGCTAACTTGCTAGGATGTTGGGGGGAGGGTATTTGTATGTGGGAGGGAGATGGGGGAAGGAAGAGGGAGAATAATTATAATAGCTCAAGCATTTCTATACCACTTCCTACGTGCTAGGCACGAGCTTTATGATAATTATCTCATTTGATCCTTCTAACAACCCTGAGAGGCAGGTATTACTATTATCTCTATTTTACAGATGAGGAAACTGAGGCAAATAGAGGTTAAGTGGCTTATCCAGCTTATCTACTACATGTTAGAAGCTAAGCTTATACAACTAGTAAGTTGTCTGAGTTCTGGTTTGATCTTAGGTCTTCCTTACTTTAGGCTTGGCACTCTATCTACCACACCACCTACTTGCCCCAATAGAATAGATAGAAATGAATAGAAGGCTGGTTGCCAAGTCAGGAAGACTTCTGTTTAAATACTTTAATACGTACTGTATATATAAGCCAGGACCTGTCAGAGTCCTGGGCAGCCTCCTTAAGACAAAAAACTTTATGGTACATGCTAATCTGTATGGGTAGAGGAAATTTCTTCCCTGGGAGTTTCATTTGAATTAATGAATTCACAGGTCTTATCCAAAATAGTTATATTTGTTTATGTGTGTTTCTGATATATGTTTGCATATGTTTGTTTAACACATGTCTATGCATATCCTACACACATAAGAAACACAGATGTAGCTTAGAAAAAACAAACCGGACATTGTTTCTCTTCAAACACTTAGTATCCTAAGAGAGTTTTTCCTTTGTCATTTATTAGAAAGTAGTCTTCCATGCAAAAAATTTTAATTTTTAAAATATTAGGGTGATATATTCACAGTAAAAATGGTTTAAATTCAGTCTTCTTGTTCTCATTCTTCTCTTAGTGACCGTATACATCAATTGCTCCTCTCTAAAGAACTTGTCCCCCATTTCTGCGCCCACATTAAATAATGGAGCTTTTTGCAGGTTATGACTGGAATAAATGACTATTACCTGCTAAATCAAAGCCCTGAACCAGAAGATCAGATTTACTGACTGGCCTCATATCTTTACTTAGTAGATCTTCTGTTGCTGGGTTGTGTGTCTAATTTGGCAAAATTCTCAGTGGGGAGAAGAATGTGGCAAGCTGAGGACTGATAACTCATCTTTTTTTTTTCCTGAAATATTTTTTCCTTTTTTCTTTTAAATAGTATTTCATTTTTTCCAATTACATGTAAAGACAATTTTTAACATATATTTTCTATATAAAATTTTAAGTTCTAAGTTTTCTTCTTCCCTAAGATGGTAAGTAATTTGATATAGGATATATATGTACCATCGTGAAAGCGTATTTCTATATTAGTCATGTTGTGAAATCAGAAAAAGAACAACAGGGAAAAAGAACAAAAAAAGAGTAAAAATAGTATGCATTCAGACTCATCAGTTCTTTCTCTGAATATGAATAATATTTTCTGTCATGAGTCTTTTGGATTTGTCTTGGATCATTGTAGATTGATATTCATCTTGATTCATTCCTTGAACAGATATTTACTGAGCTCCTATCATGTGGGAGGATGCAGAGAAAAATTAACCATGGTCCCTGGTCTCAAGAAGTTCATATACTAGAAGTAGCTTGAGTATAAGAAATTACAAAGCATATTTGAAAGGTGAGAATTAGTGAGAGAGAAAGCTAGAAATGTTGGTTGAGATCAAGATTGTTGGAAAGCCTTAGATGCTGGACGAAGGAATTTGTAATTTATTTAGTAATCATTAAATGCTTTTGAGCAGGTCCATGACGTAATTGTAGAAATGATAGGGATCTGGCCCTGCTATATAGGAGACACTGGAGGCCAAGAAGATTAATTGGGAAACTACTGTAATAGCATAGATAAAAGCAGTAAAATACTGAATTTGGTTAGTATCAACCTCATACTCAGTATTCTTGGAAAGGAACTTGTAGGCAACAAGGCAAATTCCTAAAGCTGATCACAGTTTTTATTCAGACCCAGAAACATGGCTTATTTTGGGGACAGCTAGCTTGGATCTAGAGCATCCCTGAGTCATTCCTAGGTGACTATCTTTTTTGGCTGAGAGGTGGGAGGTGTTAGATTAATTCTAAATTATGTCAAGTCAGCAACATTGATTAACCACTTGCTCGGTGCCAGGCTCTGTACTAGACACTGAGAATATAAAGAATAGGGGTAAAAAATAGTTTCTGTTTTCAAGGGATGTGCAAACTATATACGTATATGATACATACAGGGGAAATTGGAGCTAATAGCGAAGGCATTAGCATTGGAGGAGACCTCCGGTAGAAAGTAGGTTGAGCCAAGAGTTGAAGGGATGCTAGGAGACATGGGGGTTGGCCAGGGAAAGACAAAGAGTCTGGAGAGAGTCTGTGCAAGGCCCCTGGATTCTAGAGTATCTTGAAGTTAAAGTCTGAAGAATGGGAAGTTAGGAAGGGACCAGGTTGTGAAGGGCTTTCAATTTCCAAAAAGAGGATTTTGTATTTAGTACTGGAATTGATCACACGGGGAGGACGTACAACATGGTCAGACCTTTAGGAAAATTAATTTAACAGTTGAGTGGAGGGTAGACTGGAGTGGGGAAAAGACCTGAGGTAAGGAGATCAACAAGAAAGCTATTTCCATAGCCCTGGAGTAAAGGAGCAGCTAGGCGGTGCAGTGGATAGAGTGCCTAGCCTGGAGTCAGGAAGCCAGCCTCAGACACTTAGTAGCTATATGACCCTGGGCAAATCCCTTAACCCTGTTGGCCTCAGTTTCCTCATCTGTAAAATGAGTCAGAGAAGGAAATGGCAAACTACTCTAGTATCTCTGCTAAGAAAGCCCCAGATGGGATCATGAAGAGTCAGACATGATTAAAATGACTGAACAACAAAAAAAAGTGATAAGGGCCTGCACCAGAGTTGGATGAGAGAATGGAATGTATTCAGGAGATGTTGAGAAGGTAGAATCCACAGGCCTTGGCAACCAATCGGAGATAGAGGGTGAGTTGGAGTGAGGAATTGAGGATGACACCCATTTTGTGAGCCTAGGTAAGTGAGTGTGTGGTAGCGCCCTTGCTGGTAATAGGGAGGTTTGAAAGAGGGCAGGATTTGGGGGAGGCAGGGAAGATAATGAATTTAGTTTTGGACATGTTGTGTTGGAATGTTTATAGGATATTGTGTTTGTTCGAGATGTCTGATAGGTAATTGGAGAAGTAAGACTGGAGGTCAAAAAAGAAGGTAGTGCTGGATAAATGGGTCTGGGAGTCATCAGCATAGAGATACTAATTGAATAGAATTCAATTGGGATAGAATGATCTTTAGCGTTTATATAGCACTTTAAGATTTGAAAAACACCTTGCAAATATTGTCATTTCATTTTACATTAGGAAATCGAGGCAGAAAGAAATTAAGTAATTTGCTTAATGAGTGAAGCTGGATTTTAATCCCAGGCCCAGTAATCTTTTTCTACTGCACCACCCAGCTGCCTGGAATGGGATGGAATGGGATCCAAGAGATACATAGAGGGGTTAGCCTTGGCAAGAAGGGCCACCTCGTCCTGTAAGACAGGATTTGAGCGATATGAGAAGAGAGAACTGTTGGCCAGTAGCCTCAAAAGTGTATGAGTCAAGATTCTCAGCTCAGAGGGGAGGAGTGCCACGGGAGGTGTGAGGAAAAATAAAAGGTACAGGAAAGCTTATGTGTTGGATGGGACTGTGAAAGGAGTGCCTTGCTGTAGTGAGGTCCCATGTGAGATTATGTCACAGATATTTTCAGTGGAATCAACTCAGTTTCATAATTTTCTCCAACTTTGTTTAGCAGCAAATGAATTGAAGTGAAGGCCTCATGTGGTACAAGGAATCCAAAGTTGGTGTTCGGCAAGACATAACATGCAATAGGATAAGAAGGCAAGAGACTCCAGCACAGAGGGTAGTGTAAAGTTGAATTGGGTAACAAAGTGGTCAAGACAAATTAGGAGAGAGAGTTTTGCCAGTGCAAAGAACTGAGGGGCTAAGGAATCGAATGAGGACTGAGAACAGTTAGGATAATATACGTAGGGAAAGATGAAAGGATAGAAGTTCCTGAACTTGGAATTGGAACACTTGTGGGTGATGACAAAGTCCACGGTCTAACCCAGGGGTGGGGAACCTGCAGCCTTGAGGGCACATGTGGCCCTCCAGTCCTTAAGGGACTGAATCCCAACTTCACAGAAGAAGAGGCCACAGAATCCCCACCCCTGGTCTCACCTCTCTGGGTAGTTGAGGTAGGGTGAAAGAGTAGGTCATAGGGAATGAACAAGTTGAGAGACTGACAGATTAGGGTGTCAGAGGAAATATCAAATATATACATTGGAAGTCTCCTAGTACGAGGGCAGGATTTGGATTAGTTCTAGGTAATGTGTTTAGGAGAGGAATTGGAGGTAAGGTAAGAGTTGGAGCTGAATTAACTTGAATCATCAAATATCAGCTGGAGAGGCAGTTATCCTTTCTACATCGAAACTTTCTCTATCTCAGTTTCGATATATTTCGGATCAGCATAAGACATTAAATGGGAATTTTGGGGGAGTTTTGCAGAAGCCGCAGATGACACGCAAAGGCCAGCAAACAACACAGAAAGTTTAGAAACTCAGAAATGCATAACATATATGTATGGTCTTGCATAATCAATATATTTTATCTTTTCATATAATAATTCAGACTTCTCTGGTAAGAAGGAAGGGCCAAAAAATTTTAC